TGTTGTCTGTTAAAATACAGTGTTAATTCAACACTTCTTTGTTCTAGATCAACTATACGAGTGTTAGTTTCCCAAAAGAGTTGGTGTTATTCTAAGGAGTTAAATTTAAGCAACTCTGTCATGTGTTGACTTTAAAATCAACACCTGACAGAGTTTCTCCCAGAATTCCAACGTATCTGTGACGTGTTTGTTCAAGAGCGGGAACAGCAGTTTCATGAAGTCTGGAGCTACATTGTGACAAAGTAAGTTTTTGCATATATATTTTTTTATGACTGCATTAATTTTCCCTTTTGGCAAGTGTGTAGACTAATATACATAGTTTGCTTAACGTAAGTATATGCGTTTGGATATCATGGTATAAATAAAAAACTACAATTTTTGTGAGAGGCTAAAGCTAGCCAAACAGGTGTAACATGTGGTGTCCAGTTAACCGAACATTAAAACTGTTAGAAAAATCTGACGGCCATCTGATTTAACATATTTAGCTGTCATGTCGTTTTCTTGATATTCTTCGCTTTATACGGCATAATGTATTGAGGGCGTCAAGTGTGCTGGACCGAGGGTTTTAGCTCCTTTTTTATAACTTTACTCAATGTTGCAGCTACCCATGCATATCAAAAATAACGTCACTGTCATGTTTATATCTTCATGCGATGTTATATTGTCAAACTCTTTGTGTTAATGGGTGTCGGTGCTGTTAGCCGTCATGCTGGGCTCCAGTAACCGTGTAACGGTGCTGGCTCCCATTGTTCTGGGGGGGACTGGTTGGCATGACTCCTAAATATAATGAGAATCAAAGAAGCACTCCCACAGTCGATCTCATGCGAGTAAAGCAAAGCAAAAGTGTTACTGTCTCCACACATCCACTGTGAACATGCTGTAAATAATGTCAGTCTTATCTTTTTTCTTCATTAGTGCATCATGTTGGTGAAGGTGAGATTTGGAGAAACGCAGAAGTATGTCAAAGTGGCTGAGACTGAAGGTCGTTATGATGACTTCAACACATTTCTTCAGAAAGGTTAGCATCAATTTTCATGTAGTCCAGAATGTTTGTGTAAATGGACTACTTGCTATAATACCTGTTGAATGTATGTGATAAATGTCTTATGGAGTTGTGTTTATGGCAGCTAATTGTAATGGCCTGTGAAAAAAAATTACAGAAGTACTTAGTTAGGTTTACTTAAAATGTTTAAAAAATTCTGGTAATATTTTTTTTGTAAATTTTTTTCATTGCTCCAAATATACTATTTTTATCAGTCATTCAGAAGCTAGATCTTCCACTTGAGACTGAGCTACATTAACAGATGAATCAGGGACAGAAGTCGATGCAGATGTGTTTGAGGATCTTTTGCAAGCAGGGAACCTTACTGTTAGGGTGACAATTGAGAAGTCAACAGGTGAGGTTCAGCCTAGTTGGGGAAGGAGATCATAAATAAGTATTTGGAACTAATTATTTTTTGCACTTTGTGTATACATTTTTTTCAACTGTTTCCAGTTGTGCTTCAACATGATTTATCATCTACTTCGTTGGAGTCAACCATGTCAGACAGCTCATCTTTGTCAGTTTCTGGAAACTCCTTGCTAGCATCCTCTGATTCATCTGATGCCACAGTGATTGTTCACACAAACGGAGGGACGACAACACATGCTGAACGAGAAGCAACTAAAGAGGTGTGCAGCTTTTGTAACAAATGATGTAAAATATTACGTACAAATATATTTTGCTGTGAAACTGTGGGTTGTTTGTTGAATTTGATGATGATGAAGATTGATGGAAATTCTGACTTTGTGATGCTTAATCTTATAGATGGTGAGAAACGCTCTCCAGGCTAAACCTGGTGGACAAGTTATTTTGGATGAATATGATAAAATGAGAACATTGACGGATGGCACAAGAAGACGTTTGGTAAACCTTCTTGTGGCTAACATGGTTGAAATTCATGGGTAAGACATCAATATTTATATTTATACTTTAAAATGTTTTAAAAGAGCACATTCATTTTAGGCCATTGCACATCAGTAAAACAATTTATCTAATATGTTCTGTGATGAAAATACACATCAAATGGCTAAAACATGACATGAAAACTGACAATTTGAGAGCGACTACAACTCACTGAAGCAAATAACAATAGAATTTGTCTCCTTTAACTGCTGATAGAATTGTAGTAATGTCATGTTTATCTTTCAGAACGATCCCACCAGTCTCTGTGAGGACTAAAGATGCTTTGGGCATCATCTCTCTATTTCCCAGCCTCAGAGATCCGTACTCAGACAATGGATATGTAAGTTTTAATATGAAAATATTTTAGGTCAGTTCATGCAGTGTTCTGAACTTGCTCTACAATGTCATATTTTTACTATCACAGGAGCACTTCTATGACCAACAGAGTGGATCTGGCTACTTGGCCTGGAGAATGAAAACTGTTCAGCGCAACTCTGCAGCTCAGTCCCGGAGATCCTCCACCAGCACAGCCTATCAAGATAGTCCAAAGAGAAAGAGAGAGGTTCCCTGCATTGATAAGCAGCTGCTTGGTGAGGAGTGTCATGAAGCAATATCCTTTTTGAAACATTCTACGAATGAATCGGCAGTCAAAGAGAAGATGAGGGCCACGTTTCAGTATCGTCAAACACTAGTTCAAGATCAACAGTGCTCTTCAACAGTGTTGGATGTCTTCCCATGATTTCTTAACATCACTGGCTTGGTAAGACTACTTATTATTATTATTATTATTATTATTATTTGAGCCCATTATGACTATTAAAATCACATACATCATTTTACTGTAATTATATTAAGTACGTAGGTTAAATGGGTTAGATATCTTAACTGCTGAACATTACTATAACTTTATTTTACTTTAATTTTTTTTCCATTTTCATTTATCCTTTATTTATCCAGGTAGTGTCATTGAGCCACGAGAACTCATTTTCAAGAGAGACCTGTTTGGGGAGCAGATGGGGGTTAGGGGCCTTGCTCATGGGCCCAGGGTGGGGCGAATGAGGGTGGGGGCAGGTGTGGGTACCTCACCTACCTGCCCCAAACACATTTTTGATGTTGTCGGTACCGGGGCTTGAACCGGCGATCTTCCGATCACAGGCCCACCTTCTCTAACCTCTGCGCCACCACTCCCCCAATTTAAATGCCAAAACCACCTTATCATGAGCAAGCAGAATGAATCCACATGTTAGAACGACCTCTTTACCTGGCTGCCTTCATAATTACTCTATTTCAACTATTTCAACAACACAACAGCAAAAACTCCTGCTCTCCAACACATTGCTAACATTTAAGAGCTGTTTTATAGTGTTGAACCCTCTCAGTTCAAAACTGTCTCAACCTGAACCAGTCACCTGTCAGAATCGAGACGAGTCAGTGCCAGGGAATCAGCTGTTTGGACCATGAACCAGTCATTCCGACAACGAAACAGTTTGTGTTTCAGACGTCACGTGTCACGTGACTTCTTCCGCACCAAAGCAGGCTCCGAAGCAGTGGTCCCATGTAATTTTACTGCATGTTTTGAAGCTTTTGTTTCATACTGCCATCACTACTACTGTACAAGCCTGTGGGGGCAGTGGTTGCTGCAGTTGGTCAGGTCTAGAGTCAGCAACAACATGTGCTCAAAGAATGAGGTCAGCTGACTACCTGAATATACTGAATGACCAGGATTCCTCGGGCTCGAATTGTGAAAGAGTGGTTCTGGGAGCATGAGACATCATGTTCCCACACAAATTGACCACCTTGTATAATAAGACCTTGTATAATATTTGACCTTGATTTGTGACCTTAACCTTGAAGCTGGGGTGATTAAACGTATACATGACACTCCATCTAGTGATGATTCATATGTGTATATCAAGTATCTGTATGTGTATCAAGTTTCATTACATTATCTGGAGCGGATCAGAAGTTATGGGCTGGACAAGGAAAAGTTTAAGGATGTAGGGATGAATGGATGATACTATATCATAACACGTCCGGGTCAGGGTTTGGGTAAAATCTTCAGATTGGCACAAAAAAAGTTTGTGTGAAAGATGAAACACCCTCCCAGACCTTTGACCCTCCATCTACTCCTTGTGCGCTTAAGAAGCCAGCCCTCTGCTCCACATGTGTGATGGGAAAAGGCAGAGAATGAATTTCCCCATTAGGGATTAACAGAGTATAATAAAATACACAAAAATGTATTTAAAAGAAGTCTGTCAGTCAGAGGTTTGTACTATTTCACCTTCTAATTATTCAAGCCTTTGAACTTCAAACCATCATAATAAATGTACAATAAATGGATTCATCAGGAACATGTTATTAATTGGAAAGGAAAATTATTAATTAATTGAACTGGCGTAACTAGCCTCAGGATTTTTTTTCCCATTTTAGGGGCGTTTACATTTAAATTTTGCCAAAGCCTTTTCCCCAGGAGTCACTGTACTGAAGTCCATGGACTTCAGATGAGGCAAGGCCAAAATCACTCGACTCCTGCAAATACACATACAAATTAAATTAGCATTTAACTAGGATGATTCAGTAAAACATGTATTTATTGTACTTTGATTATTAGGAGGATTCGTTTACTTTTATTTAAAAAATCCTTTCCACATTTTTGAAGCTGTATGAAATAATTTAATAAATAAGTGGCATACTGCCTGAGATTGTGCCTTTTAGTAGTTTTGGGTTGATTGTGCAAAACAAGCAGAGTTACATGATAAAACTGTAGAATTAGGTTGAGTTTTAGAAGAATGGATTTAGATCAATTTGCACAGATTGTAAAATTAGCTGCATCTTCATGCCAGTGGTGTCTACATTTTACAGATGATACATATTTAGGTCTGGTTGAGCTTCAAGGCTTCAGCCACCGTTCATGGGTTGTCTTTGGAATGGCATCTTCAAGTTGGGTTCTTCATCAGCTTGGCTCACTTTTAAACATGTCCTGCATGGTTCAAGCCAAATGACTTGCCAAGCAAGTTTCAACGACAACAACGCAAACTTCAACCCAGTCAGCTTGTCACCTGTAGTCTCTGGTGGTGGTTTTGATGGGGTTTCCATGCAGCGTGATGGTGTGAAGATGCTGCAACTCTCCTAGTTTGTTGACCTCCGTCAGAGTCTCGATTTTGTTGCTGTGAAGGTGCAACACGCGGAGCTCCTTCAGCTTACAAATACACTGAAGCACAAACATTTATTGTCACTTTGGTTAATGGAAACAAAAGCAAAATCCAGGACTTTATGGGAAATTGGGAGCATCTTTCACTGAAAAGTGTTGATTAAATGCAAATCCATGGAACGCTAATCTTAATATCATTCTGCATGTGTTGCTGGGAAGCAAACCCAAATTTCATTGTAATCAGCTGCAATGACATTAAAGGTCTTCTATTCTATTAGTAAAAAGAATAGTGTGTAAATACATTTAAATGATTTTTAAATGTTGTTAGTTACAACTATAAAAGTGACTGAAAAGTTTAATAAAAAAAAAAAAAAGACTACCCAGACAAACATGAGTGACTAATAAAGCAAGTACAGAAGGCAACTCAAATTCTTACCTCGTCTATGTACGCTAATTTGTTGAAGGAGAGATCGAGCCAGCCAAGGTTGTATGGCTCAGCCAGGAAGTAGGTGAGCACCAACTCTAGACCAACGGTGTCATCCAGGTTGTTGTAGCGGAGACGCATCGAGCGAGTCACATATTTCCCGTCTGAATTCTTGGTTAGAGGATGCCGGCCTTGGGTGGGCTCCTTTGATATCGCAACTGAAAAACAAACAAAGCAAATCTGGTTAGTTGATGCACACTTTGCTTTTTATTACAACATAGAAAAAAGTATTCTAAGTCTTATTGAATATTACCGGAAAAGAAAATAATAAGAAAATAAGTGCACTAATTATTTCCTACTGTTTGGAATTTAATGAACTCACCTATTGTGGTGTTGAGATCTTTAAAAGATAGATCCAGCGGCGGGGTGCACATCTTCAAACTTTAATAGAAATTACAAACAAAATATACAATTTGCTGCAGCTGAATAGCTCTAAAAATGCTTGAGTTATCGTTTTGTTTTTTTTCCTTTGTTTACAATTTTCAAATATAAACATAGCTCCTGGAGACAAAAATTCCAAATTGAGTTACAGTTTTTAAAATTTTATATTTTATTGAGAATAAAAATAAAAAAAAACTTTAAGTCCGAATCATCGCAATCTTGTGCGATGAAATAAAAAGAGGTGTTGGAGGGGAGCAATCAGTACAATACACTGAGCACTAAGCAGAGAACTGCTTCTTTCAGAAATAAATAATAAAAATGTACGCAATATTTTAGATGTTTCTCATAATTTATCATTTCTCTTGGACTTTATGTGGTCAAGAAACCAAATTACAGATTTTATTGATATTGAGCTGAAATTTGGTGTGGTGATAGCTGAGAACGTTTCTCATCAAATCTTGTTCTTCTTTCGGCTGCTCCCTTCTTCAGAAGTCGCCACATCAAACTAACTCGCATGAAGACTTGGCAGTTATTTTTACGCCGGATACCCTTCCTGACGCAACCACTGCCCACCGAGCTACCACAGCCCTCTGTGTGGAGCAGAGAGCTGCCATCTAGGGCACCCGGGTAGCACATGGTGGTGGTTAAGGACCTTGCTCAAGGGCTCAGAATGGGGCAAATGAGGATGGAGGCAGGTGTGGGTGCTTCACCTTTTCCACCCACATTTTGTTGTTGTCGGTACCGGGAGTTGACCCGGCAATCTTCCGATCACAGGCCCACCTTCTCTAACCTCTGTGCCACCACTCTAATATTACATATTTGTGAGTGGTAAAAAGTATGTGAACCTTTGCTTTCAGTATATGACGTGACACGTCACCCCCACCACCACCCCCGTGTGGCAACAACTACAACTAAACATTTCTGGCAACTGCTGATCAGTCCTGCACCGGCTTGGAGGAATTTTAGTCCATTCCTCTGCACAGAACAGCTTCAACTCTGGACGTTGGTGGTTTCCTCCCATTAACTGCTGCTTCAGGTCGTTCCACAACATTTTGATTGGATTAAGGTCAGGACTTTGACTTGGTCATTCCAAACCATGAACTTCCTTCTTCTTGAACCATTCTTTGGTAGAACCACTTGTGTGCTTCGGGTCATTGTCTTGCTGCATGACACACCTTCTCTTGAAATTCAGTTCATGGACACATGTCCTGATATTTTCCTTTAGATTTCTCTGATATAATTCAGAATTCATTGTTCCATCAATGATGGCAAGCCGTCCTGGCCCAGATGCAGCAAAACAGGCCCAAACCATGATACTACCACCACCATGTTTCACAGATGGGAGGTTATGCAGGAATGCAAAGTTTTCCTTTCTCCTAACATGACACTTTTCATTTACACCAAAAAGTTCTATTTTGGTCTCAGCCATCCACAAAACTTTCTTCCAACAGCCTTATGTCTTGTCCACGTGATCTTTAGCAGACTGCAGACGAGCAGCAATGTTCTTTTTGGAGAGCAGTGGCTTCTCCTTCAACCCGGTCATGCACACCATTGTTGTTCAGTGTTCTCCTGATGGTGGACTCATGAACATGAACATGAGTCAATGTGAGAGAGGCCTTCAGTTGTTAGAAGTTGCCCTGAGCCCTTTGCGATCTCCTCGATTATTTTACTCCTTGTTCTTGGAGTGATCTTTGTTGGTCGACCACTCCTGGGGAGGGTAACAATGGTCTTGAATTTCCTCCATTTGTACACAATCTGTCTGACTGTGGATTGGTGGAGTCCAAACTCTTTAGAGATGGTTTTGTAACATTTTCCAGCCTGATGAGCATCAACAACTCTTTTTCCAAGATCCTCAGATTCTTTATTCATTCCGAAACACTTCCACAAACATGTTGTGAAGAGTAGACTTTAATAGATCCATGTTCTTTAAATTAAACAGCCTACTCTTGTATTTCTTGTTCGGTGACCTTGAGTGTTTTGAAAGGCGCCTTCAAATAAAATGTATTATTATTATTATTATTATTACTCACACCTGATCATCATCCCATTGATTGAAACCACCTGACTCTAATTTCACCTTCAAATTAACTGCTAAGATTCACATACTTTTGCCACTCACAAATATGTAATACTGGATCATTTCCCTCAATAAATAAATGACCATGTATAATTTTTAGTCTCATTTGTTTAACTGGGTTCTCTTTATCTATTTCTAGGACTTGTGTGAAAATCTGATGATGTTTTAGGTTATATTTATGTAGAAATATAGAAAACTCTAAATGATTCACAAACATTCAAGCACCACTGTACCTGTATGTACATATATAAAAACTTGAGTTTTAAAACTTGTATATAATTTTGTTTGTACATTTGAGTGGGAAAAGTGATGTAATTTGTTTTAAGAATGTTGAGATATCTAAGCTGTTGATCGTGGAATGGGCGTCTGGATATTAGTCTGGATATGTTTGGGATGCTGTTTAATACACTGTATTATTTTACAATATTATTGTTTAGCGTATATCTTAGACCCTTCTATACTGTTTCTTTTTTATAATATATATTTTTGCTATTTTTGGGTGTGACTGGGACCTTGAGTACACAGTTTCGTTCCACCTCATGTACCACATGTGATGTGAATCACAATAAAGTATCTTGAACCTTGATATTAAATTGTTTTAAGAATAAATTAATTGTGGATTTCAGTATTAAAAACAATCAAAAATAAGACATCTTAAACTAGGTTTCTGCTATAATGGATTCCTTAATTTTTTATTTTTTTTTTTACTAGTAAACATATTAGTTTAGAGTTTTAATTAATATTATTTTATATTTGACAAGTTGCCGATTTTCATCAAGACAAAGGCTACTTTGCTTTTGTTTTAAATGTAATTAAAAAAAAAAAGTGATTTTATTATATGCAGCAACAGTCTGCCTAACATCTATTTCTCCTTCCAAAGCTTATCAGCTGAAGTCAGCAGGTGCTTCAAATTGGACACAAGATGTTCAAACTGGGAACGAGAGTTAAAGCAAAACTTGAATTATGAATTTATTTGTTTGTTTAGTTCCCCCCCCCCCCCATTAAAATTGGGGACAGCTGACACTCATAGGGATACACTTAGTCTAACCGATTAAAGCCATAAAAAGTGTCTTTGACCAGATCTGTATGCAGTAGATAAGGTTCCATAAACATGTTGGAGGATATTGATCCATTGGCATCATGTTTTTAAGAAATAATTGCTCGTGCCAAGGCATTTCCACGTTTTTTTCTCATTCTTGCCAGTAAAATCTTGACTGCAGTAACGCCTCACGACTTGTTTTTTTTTCCTCCCACAATGCTGTGCGCTAGGGGCTGTCTGTGGTGCTGAAGATGCGCGTGCCTCGGTCTGCGCGAGCATCTTTCCGCGAGGAGTCGTATCTTCGACGGTTGGACGACGGAACATTGAGCGATTCAGGATGTTCCCACCGCCGCCACCGGCTTCTTAAGTTTATTTTAAGACTTTTTTTTTTCTTTAAAAACAGGCAGCGTTTTTTTCAAGCTCCAACCACAACGCGGAGGCGTCCGTGAAGTAGCTTTATTCACTGCTTTATTCCCTGCTTTTCGACGCTTTTGTCTCTTTCGGGTTCCTGCCTGCCGCCGTCTCCACGTGCCATTTATGCACAGCACGCTGCTCCTGTCCTCCCGACAAAACACACCTACGTGTCCGAGCACAATGGCCCGCTCCAACTGCGTCCACTGAGAGACATGGAGGCTAAACAACATCCTATAAAGAGCCTGAAAAGCTACCCAGAAACCGGCGGTCGTAGCCTGGCGGCGGCCGCCGGGGGAGACGGTGGGTATCGGGCCGGCTCAGCTGAAACGGAGATGGAGCTGAAGATCCAGAAAGCCATCGACTTAAGGCGGAGGGTCATCGCTGCTACAAGGAGAAGAAATTCCGGGAGGCGATAGGCAAGTACCACCGGGCGCTGCTGCAGCTCAAGGGAGTGCATGTGCGAGGTCAACCTGCTGAGCCAAGCCGCCGCCAAGCTGACCGAGGAGCAGCGGAGAGCCATGGAGAGCACCAAGATTGAGTGCTACGACAGCCTGACAGGTGAGCGGTGCCGGCCTGCCAGGTCCAAACACTCGGCGTGTTTACTGCTGACAGCATTGTTGGCGCCGGTTCACCGGGTTCACTAGAAACAGGGCTGAAGGGCTGATGCTGGAGGCAAGAATGATGCTGGAGACAGGATGAGAGGACAAACTGTTCTGATTTGGCAGACAATATGAAAACAGAAAAGATTATCCATCAGGGCATTGCTTGCAGGCCAGCCAAGAAATATAGTCCCTCCACCGTGTCCTGGGTCTTCCTCTGGGTCTCCTCCCGCTGGGACGTGTCCAGAACACCTCACCAGGGAGGTGTCCAGGAGGCATCCTAACCAGATGCCCGAGCCACCTCAACTGGCTCCTCTTGATGTGGAGAAGCAGCGGCTCTACTCTGAGTCTCTCCCGGATGATAGAGCTTCTCACCCTATCTCTAAGGGAGAGACACCCTGTGGAGAAAACTCATTTTGGCCGCTTGGATCCGAAATCTCGTTCTTTCGGTCACAACCCAAAACTCATGACCATAGATGAGGGTAGGAACATAGATCAATGGATAAATTGAGAGCTTTGCCTTATGACTCAGCTCTCTCTTCACCACGACAGACCTGTACAGCGCCCGCTTCACTGCAGACGCTGCACCTATCCGCCTATCAATCTCACGCTCCATTTTTCCGTCATTAGTGAACAAGAGACCCCAAGATACTGGAATTCCTCCACTTGGGGTAGGACCTCCTCCCTAACCCGGAGAGGGCACTCTACCCTTTTCCGGCTCAAGACCATGGCCTCGGATTTTGGAGGAACTGATACTGCCACTACACTCTCTTTATTCACCTGAGTCTTTCTAATTTCATTATCTAAACATAAAACTGGGTCTATTGTACTTCTCCCTCTCCTGAAACCACTCTGATATTTTGT